CCGAAATTCCATTTCATGTATAATTCCTATTTAGCCACTTAGTTATTGTTATTGTACCATGAAGTTTGAATTTTTTTTCTTATAAACAATAAATGAGGAACATATAAAACGTGATGTGTAGGTAAATACATTATCGTCTTTCTCTTACTCTACTATTACATTCAATAAGTAAGTAGTGCATATCAAAGTCTGCAATGCATTTTAATTATATTATTTTCAACCCAGTTTGATATGTTCATAATATTTAACTGCATTGTTTATAATTATACAAAAAATCATAAAAATGTAATATTGAAAATTCAATTGGAAAAAAATTTGAAAAAAAAATCGGAAAAAAAAAATCGTTGTGATTGCAATTAAAATTTCATAAAAATTTGAACTATACACACACATATATATATGAAAATTTTAAAATACATTACAAATTTCTATAAAAAAAATAAAGGAAACAGTAATTATCGATCTTAATGAATTAATTGTTAATCATAGACTTAGGCAATCATAGTTTTCTCTCCATCTTAAATAAAATTTATAATATTTGACATATAATTTAAATTACAATAGTAACTTGCATTTAATATTGTAGAAAGATTCTCTTTATGCAAACTATACATTCAATCATATTGTAATATAATTTCTAAATAATGAAATCAATTATGTTTTTCAATTATTTTCAAATTTTAATCTCGAATGTTTTATTTCTCTACTAAAATTTAATTATATTATTATTATTTTTAATAATTTTATTATATTATTATTTTTAATATCTAATAATTAATTGTTATTGCGTAATATTCATGAATTTTCGTTGAATTTCACTGAAAAGTATTAGGAATATACAAAGATGTAATCACTTAACATGACATGATATAAGAAATCCATAAGTAATACTTGGCTGAATAAAGTTTCTGATATAAATAATTTCCGGGTTTTATGTGACATATAAAAAAGGATAAAATGCAAACAAGGTGCGTGCAGTTAATTTGCCATTTAATTATGTTCTCCTACACCACCCACATAAATGTTAACGACAGCTGCCAAGAAAACTTCCTTAAAAGAATATTTTTTCTCTTTATTTCTTTCTCGTCACGAAGCCGTTAAGCTTTTTAATCGCGATTTTATAGAGGTTCGCACGATAACACCTTCATTTTACCCCCTCACATATTAAATATTATATGCCAGCGAATTTTCAGTTTACCTGGCGGTGAAAGCAGTTTTATGGGACTCCCGTCATGTTGTAGCTTATTGATTCACATGCGAACAAGAAAAATTTATGCAAGGAAGCGATCACTTATGGAGTTATGTAGTTGATAAAGTTATGTGGATTAAGGAATTTTTAACGTAGAAAGTTGTATAGGATTTTCTATCGATCGAATGATTTAACAAATCACTATTTAATGCATACGAAGCTAGATTGTGCGCATAAAAGTGCATACATAATTTACGTAATCTTTTGACATTATGAAATATATTATTCATAAAGTATTCATTTATTAATTCTTACATCTTTTATATTGTATTATTTTATCATTCATTTATAACTATTTTATCATTCTCATTGTGTTTTGTTCGCGAGAGAATTACTTTAGGTTTAGATGTTGAATTCTCGTATAATCGTGATCAATTTTCAAAAATAGAAGCACTAAAAAGTAATGCATATAAGCATTAATTTCATTACAAAATGTATCGTCGTAATTGTTGGAATTACTTATTATATATTGTGTAACAGTAATGTGATTAATTTATTGCATTTCAATTGATGTCGAGGATTTAGGAATAAACCATATAAATATTTAGATATTAAAATAATAGATAATATTATGTTAATGATAAGATTTATTATACTCGGAGATTTGTTTTAAAGATCAATGATATCGATTAAATATTGATAATATTACGTATTTTCTATTAGATGACTATGCATGATATATGTTGATGTATATTCAATATTTCTACATAGGAGCACATATATTTAACATCTGTATATTTAAAATTGCTCCTATTCTATAGAAATTAATATATAAATTGTATACATAAATTGATTATTTACATAAAATTGCAAAGAATCGAGCAGCTAAAGATAAAAATATTAATGTTTACAATTTGCGGCATTCAAAGCATAATACCAATTTATTTTATGATAGTGCTCACTCTAAAATATATTCCTTTTATCTTTTAAATATAAATAATTTACATTATTAGGTAAAATCATTATCTATTCAATGACATTCAATGACAATTTAATAAACTATAAGTTTAACGAAATATATTATAATTAATTATGAATTTATACTACTGTGTAATGTTTATTGATAATTTTTTTAAACAAAACAACGTGATATTGCATTTTGAATTATTTATTTTTTCAGTATTTCCATGCATTATACATACTTTGTCCTCGTAAAAAGAATAATATATATATATATATATATATATATATATAGAAATATCTAATTTTATATAATGAATAACTTTATATACTGAATTCAAGACGCAATAATATTGTGATAAAGAATTCTTTTGACGTGTAGAACCGAAAGTTTCAGATTGTAAGTTTTCTAATATCAATAGCGTTTGTGCCGTATACGCCTTCGTAGCTCGTTCGATCTCTCACGGCCATGAAATTTCCAACTAGGCGCAAACAAATTATTAAGCGCACAAAATAAAAAGATATGTAAAAGACGTACAGCAAATACGCTACAATAACAACAATTTCTATTCTCCGCCACGTACGCGAATCTTAGACGGCGGCGCGATCGACTCGTCATTGAAAAATGAGGCCACACGGAGTTGCATTGAGCGTCGATGCATTAACGCTTAATAATAATGCGCGCAACTTCAGCAACGCGAGGAAAGGCTGCCGAAGTGCAACGTTCGCGAACGACGACATATACGCCTCCCCCCATCCCTCCCTCCTCCACGCCCCTCCTCCTCCCCTCCCCCGCCCAAACCGTCATTCCGCCCAACCAAGCATTCCGCGAGGCTGAAAAATATTGCCGATGGTAAATGAATAATGCAAACTTATGCGCCGCGATGCAAAGGGATGTGGCATTGTGCGCCGCATACACGGAATATTGAGAAACACATGTTTTTCGCGCGGCCACCGCATTGTCACTTTCGTAATAATAATTTACGCACCGCTGGATCAATGGGCCTTGGGCCGATGCGTCTGCATTTGCATACGCTCGTGGATCTTCTTTGGAACATAAACGTTACAGAAAACGATTCGCATCTTTCGCTAATATGGGAAAGAAGATGCTACTGTTACCGTTCTTGATTGTTCTTTATTTCTGATATGTGGAGAGAGCAATTGATTAGTATTCTGCCGAAGAAATCACTTTACGGAGTGTACACGTTTCAGCTGGAATTTTAATAAGTTACCCTTATCTTTCATTAATCTACAAAAGGCACTGTAGAACCAATTACTTATAATAACAAAGCGAAACAATATTCGGTATATCGAACAATTTCATGCACACGTCACGTTTCATTATCTAATGTTATAATTTACTATTAATAAGTTAATGCTACTATTTATAAATCTCTGTTTCTCCTTAATTTCATAATTCATGGGAAACTACGATTTCTTATCGCCAAATACCAAGAATCCATCATAAAATTATATTTTTACTATAAACTTTTAAAACTTAAGCAAATATTCATTTTAAAATTTTGACGAGAACTTTAAAGATAATAAAAAAATAGATGTATGTTTTGTTAATTTTTAATGCAATAATTTTCATCGGATAAATATTATGAAATTCATTTCCAGACAGATTACACTTTAATCCTTTAATTTACGACTTGATAAAATTATAATATTTAATTGTACAAATATACCAAGATAAAAACTATCAAGCGTAATAAATAAAAACTCTTAATCATAATTTTATACAATGTAATATTTGAAATCTATTTCTATTCGTTAAAATATATGCAACCAGTAAGATTATTAAAAACAATTATAAAGAATATCATGACTACTTTGGCATTTATTACAGAATGTATTATAATATATATTTAACAATTTCATTTATTATTTATTACTCAATTGTATAAATGCAGCGATAGAACAAATAAAATTTTTTAATTCCTTGGGAATAATTTTACTGAATTGGAACTATGAAAAAATTACTCATATGTACATTCGGTATAATAATATACCTTGCGAAGTTTAAGTTAATATAGAGATAATTATCAATTCTTATGGATAAAAATTAAGTTCACTCATTGTGTAATCTGATATCATCTTATTGCAATGATAAAATACAAATTGGATATGATTATTATTTTTAACAAATCTTGGCAAAGCAAAAATTATAATATTAAAATGTGCTTCATATATTACTTAACACCAATGCAAACAATGAAACTCAATATTCCGCTATACATTAACTTATTATGAAAAAAAGGAATTTCGCTCATAAATTTATGTTTAATATGTACTTATAATTAATTATTTAATCTAGACGATTATAATAGTTTTATTTTTTAATTTTATTATAAATAATATAGTCATTTTTTATACCCGAGTGCTTGAATTTTTTTATGAATATAACTAATATTACTAAGAAGTTTAATCTTAAAAGTCTTAAAATATACGAAATGCTCTCGTAATATTTAAGAATTTTTTTTTAACATTGTTTTACGTAAATGATTTAATTGCTTCTGTGATTTTTTTTAACAATTAATCTATATATAAAGAAAAGAAATACTTGCGTAAAATTCCAGAATTTTAATAATAATTTTATTACAAATTCGATTAATTTTAAGGAAAAAAAAGTATAATCTCATGAAGTCAGAGAGATGCAACTTAAACAATTACATTAAACATCGACATAATACATCTGATTAAAAATTATTGTATGCATTATAATGAAAGTTCGTGTAAATTTGTATTCAGATCTATACAAATGAAATAAAATTCATAAGTCATTTGATTAATTTCTATGCATGAATATAAAATAAAAATAACTAATATAAATATTCTTTTATTTCAGATGAAGTTTCTGACATCAAAGATAAAGCCGATCATGAGGTAGAGTATAATTTTCATAAATTTGATATAAAAATAAAATAAGAAATACATGGCAATTATTTTTCAACTATTCTATATAAAATGAGTAATACGAATGAAGAAAATTATATGAAAAAAATTATTGTTTTTAAACAAAATATTGCTTTTTTAATAATTCTGACAAAATCAAAATTTTTTAAATTACACTGTGTTCTCTCGTAAAATATTTTTCAAAATATCATATTTGGATAATTCTTTAAATTATCTTAATAAATGTTATTCTATAGAATATTAAATACTTTACTATGTCAACTCATTAGCATAATTATATTTACAATATTATTCAATAACGAGAATGAAATAAATATTCCATGAAAATCATTAAATAATAAAGCTATTTTTATTTTATTTAAATAAAAATTTTATTATGTATATAGGAATATTAGTAAAATATGAAAATAATTGTAAGGAATAAAATGTAATTTTTAAAAAGTGTATTGTCTTGAGTAATCTTTAATAAACTGTATAAAATGTATATACATCGTGGAAATATAATTAATATATTCCAATAAGAAAATTAGTTTTTCAACCGTTTTTATATTGCTTCACTGATTTCATAATAAACGATAACGTTACAATAGAAATAGGACATGAAATTTATATGTATTAACAAATGTAATGAAAAATTAAATATTAATATTTTATGCGAAGTGAAATAAAATTTAAAAAGTAAATAGTAATACAAGTAATATTTTCATGAAATAAATATCATTGCTAAGATTTTCTATTTAAAATGTTTTCCAACTAACACTAACTCAATATTGCGCTTCGATTATTGACTACAAATTATAATTATTAAAGGCAAAGGAAACTTTTTGTGGATATAATCATCTCTGTATGAAGTCAAATTCTAATAAGATTTTCAAAATCACCATTCCATGTTTGGGAAAAATATTTGTAAAAATAAAGAACAATAATAATTTTACTTAAAGATAATAATATTAAAGGAAAAAGATACCTCTCATTATGCGTAATATAACACTGATAATTGAAGTATAATTTGCTTTGTAATATAATAAGATAATAATTTTATTGACTCAAATTATGAATATGAGAAGAAAATTTAAAAAAACATTCAGCAATAATAGTCATTTATTGCTTATTTCATTGACAGAAATCAGATAATACAATTAAAGAAACTTCTGTGGAATATATATAATTACAAGTAATATATTTTATAAAAAAAATTCTATAATTATATGATTATTAAATTAATATATATTCATTATAACACTCACACATAATCCAGGTTTTATATATTTGTTATCTCTAATAACGGAAAAGAATTGATATTGAGAAAAATAATAAAATAATAATAACATTTCTTAATATTATAATTATCTATATAATGAATTTTAATTGATACTATGCAAATATTCCATAGTACATGTTAAATTTAATTTACTATGTGGATTTATAAAAAAATTAATTTTGCATACAACTGTTGTTTTATCTATAAGATTTTTAAATACAAATCATTAATAATTAATTTATTAATTGTTTATAATTATTATTAACGATAAAATTCTTTAACATTATAATATTAAATGTATTTCAGTTGTATGAAGTTAATTAGATAAATCGAAGTAAAGACATAATCATTAATTTAATTTTATAATTGACTATATGGAACTAAAAATATCCCTTTATTTTATTTTTTATAATAAAAATATTAATACTCTCATATATAATCCTTTTATATACAAGGACATGAGATGTGAGCATTTAAAGCTTACATTTTTGTATAAATATATTGGATATATTTTAATATGATTTCTCTTCATAACTATAATATTTTTATTCATTTTACCAACATTCTTCAATAATAATGGATTTTTATTTATTAATTAAAATCTTTAGAGAATAGTTATGATAATGAATTCTTACAACCATACAATTACAATTTCCTAAGTAGTAGTTACGTATATGTAGATAGTTTCTGAATTAAATTACTGTAACGCAGCTTGTTGCATTTTCAAGTAAGGGACCCAGAACTTGTTTACAACTCTGGGCAACGATGTTGTATATCCGAAGAATGTGCGAGGAAGGCGATAAGGAAAGATCGAGACAAAGTATAAATAAAATAAGAAGCGTGAAGTAGATTGTAATAGATATCGAGAGAGAGAGAGAGAGAGAGAGAGAGAGAGAGAGAGAGAGAGAGATTCTTTATTGTTAAGTAGGGTGGACTCTCAATTAGTCATTGTTTCATTGTCTTTGCTCCGTCGATGGAAAATGTAAACTTTGTATCCAATTTGTTATTATACTTCATTAGCTCCTTCACTAATAATGTAAATCTGTATTTCAATGGATTTCTGACCGACGAGTCTCGAGTGTCACGACCTATTTCTAGATAAATATAAGAAGACTACATTAATAAGTGACATTATATCTTAATTTTAGTTTACAAGCCGAACAATTGCTTTGCATGTACATTTGTATTATGAAATCGGAATTTTTAAAAATATACTAAAAATCGGAAAATTAAAGAAGATAGACGTAACAATGCAGAGAAAAGTGTCTCTATTGTGATGAAAAGTTGTTTAAGAATTAATAAAAATGAATAACTTTTCTTAAATATTCTCCATTCACGTTAAATATTTAGATAAAATTCGTTGTGAAAATGGACACGGGAATCATCCCTCGTAAGCTTAGCTCCCATCTCTCTCTCTCTCTCTCTCTCTCTCTCTCTCTCTCTCTCTCTCTATCTATCTATCTATCTATCTATCTATCTATCTATCTATCTATCTATCTATCTATCTATCTATCTATCTATCTATCTATCTATCTATCTATCTATCTATCTATCTATCTATCTATCTATCTATCTATCTATCTATCTATCTATCTATCTATCTATCTATCTATCTATCTATCTATCTATCTATCTATCTATCTATCTATCTATCTATCTATCTATCTATCTATCTATCTATCTATCTATCTATCTATCTATCTATCTATCTATCTATCTATCTATCTATCTCTCTCTCTCTCTCTCTCTCTCTCTCTCTTTATATATATATATATATATATATATATATATATCTTTGTCCATTTCAAATATACACGCGTACGCACGCACGCACACACTTGAATTCTCTTTTATTGCACTGACTTTCCTTCTTCACCCGTTAGTCTGTTTTGCTCGCTAAAACCATCAACTTCGAATACGCATACATGAGAATGTCGCGACAAGGAATTGCGCGAACTATGCTATATAACCATAGTGGCTAAAAGCACTCCTGTCTCTGTCACTGACCCCACATATTCGTAACAATGCTAGGTGTGTCTAGTTCTGCGCACATGTGTTGCAATGTGATCCTGCCTGAATACGTTTTGTGTCTTATACCAACAGGTACGCGGATACATACAAGGTTTGGGCTTTCGTCAGACGAAAGTAACGACATGGGTATGCAAGTACATAAAAGACTTGTACATCGGAGACGAAAAAGAAACCTGAAATAAGAAGACAGTGTAGCTTAATTTATACGATTGAGCTAATTGCTTAATAAAGATTGTTATTGCATTTAGAGTTATAAGCCTAGCAAATGTCTGTTCTGTGAATGTTCTGTTTCTCATTATGTATTGTTAGTCGCTAATATTGCTTTCGTTCAACTACTCACTTATACATTTCATTATATAATTAATCGATTTTTTCAAAATACCAAATTGCCAAGTGAAAAATCTATCGAAAGACTGTTTAAGAATAACATTTAAATTATTTGCATAAAGTATGGGATTGTGAAAACAACTAAGACATTAATTATAATATTGATTAACATATTGTTTATAAGAGAATTTATTCCTATTATTGCTCACTTTGATTGGCTCATTTCATTTTACAGTGATACTAGAAAGTACATACAAAATTCTCAAATATAACGAACGCTTCGCGGGACGTAATCTCAAACTTTAAATTTATGGAATCCATGATCGAAAGGCAAAATATCACTTTTTTTTCTGTTCCAGGATTCCATGGCATCGCCGTCCGAAACGGACGTCGTCGAGGAAGCCTACGACGACGGCGACGACTCGGACATGTACATGGAGCCGGACGGCGCCGAGTCAAGTCAAGCCGACAAGTCTCACGGCACGGAAACCGAGTCATCGAAATCCGAGTATACGGAAAAAAATCATCGAAAAGAGGTGAATCGACCGATGACGTTGCCACGCGCCACCATTATAGCTGTAAGACCAGTCCAGACGTCCATCCAAGTGACTTCCAGCGAGTCCATGGACTCCTCTCGATCCGAAGATAAGCCGGAAACGGAGGAAAAGAGCTTGGAAAGCGACAGTCAGAACTTCTTCCCATCTTTTGCCGAGCTCTTCGGTAATCATCGACTTCCCTATACCGAACACCAACAACAACACCGTTACCGTCCCAGCCGCTTCCTCGGGTATTTCCAACGCGACAGACCCTTCACCATTGCCGCATCCTCCTCGAATAAGGAGAACCAGCCTGCTCTCCTGGGATCCGGAAACTTTGGTGTTATCCGCGGTGGCACTTATTATCCCGAAAATAAAGAACACGACGAATACAGTATCGACGAGTCGGCATACAGTCCCTTCTACCACGGTAGCACCCGAGGACGCTCCAACTACTACAAGAATCCGAAGCCGCAGCCTATTCGCGGTGGAGACTTCTTTGCTAACTTCCGCGACTTTGCCGATATCACGGCCCCGCCTAAATCGAGCTTCTCCCATCTGTCGGTCGTGTACGCCAACAAAAACGGCAGCAGCGCCGGACGCGCACTCGAACAGCCGAAGAACATCATCGAAACATTAAGGATGCTGGAGCAGGAGGAGGAAATGAACGCGGCGGCTATGGCAGCGGCGGCGGCGGCGGCGGCGGCGGCGGCGGCGGCGAGGACGACGACGACGACGACCGAAGTGCCGCAGAAGAAGCTCAGCCAGGGCAAGAGAAAACTCATAAAGATCAAGAAGTATCAAGAGGAGAAGGCCAGAAAATCACGTATGACGATCGAGCCTCTGCTCGCACTTAGTTGAACAATAAGTCGAGATCTGTTTATAGAGTGACTTGATTAAATAAAAATATATATATATGCATTACACACACGCGCACACGCACCCACGCACACTCACACGCGCGCGCACGCGCACACATACCCGCACGGGTAATGCAAACGCATATATATATACACACACACCTACACGCGCATAAAAACATAAGCACACACGCACTCACATACACAGACAAACACGCACGCATGCGCATACACACGCACATACATATATATATATATATATATATATATATATATATATATATATACACATAAATCTTTTTAACAGAAAAATTGATAATATATATATATACACATAAATCTTTTTAACGGAAAAATTGATATGAAGAGGTGACGAGTGAAAGTACAAGAATGAAATGCGCACAATGAATAACTTTCCTATACGAGATATATGATTGTATTGTATCCCTACCACATGCACTTGTGTGTATATAGCTGCGTGCGTGAGTGACTGCACGGGTGCGCGTGCGTGCGTACATATATTCATATTATATATATATATATGTGTGTGTGTGTGTGTGTGTGTGTGTGTGTGTGGGTGTGTGGGTGTGTGGGTGTGCGGGTGTGTGTGTGTGTATATGTATATATATATATATATATATATATATATATGCATATAGATATATACATATAGATATATACATATATTTTTACAAATATTATCCGTACCTAATGAACTTGGCTTCTAGCGAGGCCAACCAAAGTCTGAAAGGATGCATCGCCGCCGTCATTATTATCTTTGCGTTTAATAAACAAAAATTGTTGTAATAATATATCACGACTCTAATTTGGAGTCAATTTATAATTGAATTGTGTGAAAATTGAATTCTTCGTTCAACTCGATTACTTACAGTAATTTTATTGTAACATTAAACATACAATATCATTGTTCGATCATTCAAGAGGAATCATTATGTTCGATTGTAATTGCAACAATTGGGTGTTTGAAAAATGAAACGGTCACACTCGCAACGATGTTTTTAACTTTTCTTATAAGTCCATAGAAATTTTTACATATTATCCTTACCATCATCAATTCGAAGGACACATTATACAAAATAATTAACTTGTTAATCGATCGACAATTTTGGTCATTGGACTTCCTTCCTTAGTATTTCTCCTGTCACTACTATAATTCGGTACTAAATACTAAATGTACTAAATACATTTTTCACGCGAACCCGCGACCGAGTGAGCCCAAAGCTCAGCACTTCCTGGCCAAAAGCTATAAAAGCTCATCTAGCCGGGAATCTTCGCCTTCTCGAAGCCTCCCGAGCAACGCCAGACCATTGATTGACCTCCGGGTGGTGCTGCACCTACCCACGCACGACCTAAAATACCGAGTACCGAGAGCGCACTTCTCGGTCCCGCTCGTCACGCTCGAGCGAGTAGCTAACGAACTCGGCACCGACACCACGCGATCCACCGATTTTCCCAATAGTCGCTTGTGAAACGTGGAGTCGATGTTGCTGTGAGGTTAGTTAAGGACAGTACTCGATGATGCTTGCCGACGATCTTTCATTATCCGGTAATAATTAGGGTGAGCTGGGACATTGGTTAACGTAATCGAGGGAGGCTCGGGGGAATCTCGGCAGATTTGCGATAAAATTTTATGATAAATGTGAGACGGTCGGGGGGAAGATTATAAGAATGCTTTTAGCGCTTTGGCGAGAGGGTGGCGTGACGAAAGGCAGCCCCATTTACCGTCTTCTTTTTTATTCTTGCAATTAATTACGCTATCCGATGCGATTGTCGTTGTAATGGGGATAATGCCCTGGGGATCGAAGAGTCTCTTGTAAAAAATAATCGTTCTACAGCTGAGGCATCGTGAAGCGTAGAAAATTTCAAAAGGTATAAAGGATTTAGTCTCGTAAACGTAGAGAGAGTTGAAAATAGTATGATGATTAAATTCTTAAAATAAGGCATTTAATGTAGCCAAGTGTCTTTCTTTCTCTCTCTATACATATAAAATTGGTATACATTTATGAATGTTCAGCGATATGTTACTTGCGAATTTTAGTGAAAATGAACGCTACTTTTATTGACGTTCGGCGCTATTAAAAGCTTAAATTCTTTGTAACCATTGAAACTTGTTATCAATTATGATTATGTAACATAAAAATTATTCAACGAACGTAGTTTTATGTAGCAATATTTGTTTATCACCTTAAGAATAAGAACAATTATTATGACGGTTTGGATAAAAATATATAATTAGCGGATTGTGGCTAATTACGCGAATTTTAGGTTTACGCAAAGCATATGAATGTTCAATGGAGATTTATATCATCGTTAAAAATTTTGGAGAATAAAGCATTGCAACATTACGTTTAGCGAGTAAAATCTTCAAGAAACAAAAAACAAAGAAAAAAAAAAATTAAAAAAAAAAAAAAAATTAACAAAATGAAAAAAAAATAAAAAAATTTTAAAAAATAATGTCTAACGTAGCCTATAAAAATGTCTTATTTAGTTAATATTTGTATTATGAGATCTATGGAAAGTACTAGGATTGCTTTTCAATGTGTCAACATGAATGAAAGAATACGTAAATTATGATTATCCTACGTTCTGTGCATTTTTGTATCTATGATAAGAATGTGAGACGACAAATCGATCGTGAATTTATTGTAAATTGATTTTTTGTAATAGAAAAAAATTATGACAAGACAATGTCCGAGTTTACGACGACTAAGAAGGAAAAATATATTTGCTTACATATTGATAGATTGTCGATGGAGCTTTGGAAGAAATCCGCCTCGTATTGTAATTTAGGTATAAAAAAAAAAATGGAACAAAGAACTGTGGAAAAAAAAGCGAAAAAACGAAGAAGAAAAAAGAGAGTAAACAATTTGATGGAACTATTTTTCAATTAATTCAATTACTCCAATTGATTCTCAGATTTCAAAGGTCAAACGTTACGACCAAGCTTATTCATGAGCGCAATAGTTCATAAATACAATTTCCCATACGATTTAAAAAAATTCATCGTTCATTCTTGAATAATTAATGTAGCTTATTAACAATTCAAACGGATAAAGTCTAAAAAAATTTTCACGTTAAATTTTGCATTTGAATTAAAAATTTTCAGTCTAATTTGAATAATTTCACCTTTATACAACTCTATTTACATCTACATTTAGCGTACACTAAGCTTAATATATATGCAATTAATGCTATTTGCTTATTTTATACGACGAAATTTTATAACCAAAATATTTATGTATATTTATAATGTCATGGATTGAATTGTAATGGACATTAATTTGTGGAGAAAAAAAAAATCAGCTAAACATTAATTATCATTATAAATGGTTTATGAAAATTAATATCGTCCCATGCGTTGATGAGGCATCATTGAACATTTTGCCGAAGAATTTGTGTACATTGTTGTCGTATTTGTTGACTATTTTAGCGATAGATGTAGACTTTATTCGTGGATTAAAAAAAAATCACTAGATAAGAGATAATAAAAAGATAAAAGAAAAATTGACGAAAGATTGACAAAAAATTGATGAATTATGTATGTGAAAGTGTTCGATACTTCCGCTCCCACGGCACTGGTGCACTAACAAACTTCAAATAAACAATGTACTATAAGTTTATAATTATGTACGTACTTTATATATATATATATATATATATTTTTTTAATGTAAAGAAAAAGTATTCACGTTTCTATATAAGAAATATTCTATTTCTAATATTCAGAAATACAAATTCGATTCACTAACGGATTACATAATGATTTGTTTTTTTCTTCTTTTTTTTTTTTTGTTTTTTTTTGTTTGTTAAACAGTCAAAAGATGTTACTGAGCAGTTATTCATCTCTTCTTTTACCATCCGTTCGAATTAAGATTCTTATTAGCTGTCGTTTAAAAACAAAAAAAAAAACAAAAAAAAAACAACAAAAAAAAAAAAAGAAAGTGAAAGTTTTTAATGAATTTTAATTATATTTGCATGACATTTGAATTTGAAAAGCACGGCATCTCTCCCAGTAAGGGAAAAATCATTGTCTTTTATTTGTCGAAAAGACGCGAACGAGACTATCTAATTCCAACAAATATTAACGAGCATAAGATCATTAATAAAGTATAACTAGTGTAAACTTCAGAATGAGGGTTCTTAGCTAACTCCTATTAGTTGTCTCCTTCAGTACATTTTAAAGGACCAGGACACTGACAGCAACGATGACGACGTCCACGACTAGGACTATTACGAATGATGATGACGAAGACGACGACGACGACGATGGCGATGACGATGACGACGAAGACGAAGACGAAGACGAAGACGAAGACGATAACGATAACGATAACGATAACGATAACGATAACGATAACGATAACGATAACGATAACGATAACGATAACGATAACGATAACGATAACGATAACGATAACGATAACGATAACGATAACGATAACGATAACGATAACGATAACGATAACGATAACGATAACGATAACGATAACGATAACGATAACGATAACGATAACGATAACGATAACGATAACGATAACGATAACGATAACGATAACGATAACGATAACGATAACGATAACGATAACGATAACGATAACGATAACGATAACGATAACGATAACGATAACGATAACGATAACGATAACGATAACGATAACGATAACGATAACGATAACGATAACGATAACGATAACGATAACGATAACGATAACGATAACGATAACGATAACGATAACGATAACGATAACGATAACGATAACGATAACGATAACGATAACGATAACGATAACGATAACGATAACGATCGATGACGATGACAGTGAAGACCACGAGCGCTACTTCATGTTCTTCTTAATCATAGCGATCATCTTGCCGATGCCCTCGTGAACGTCGGAGTAATTAGCGTGGGCGTCGAGCCAGGCTGGTGTGCTATAGAGATTGTGTTTCTTGCAGTACGTAACGCCATGGACGTTCTGCATCGTGACTTTGGCGCCCATTTTCTTGACCTTTTCGATCGCACTCGCGTACGGCCACTGCTCCTTTGGAGCTGCGGAGAAGAGCCAATGATAGCGTGCGACTTACGTATCACGTGGGATTCTGGTATTCAACCATGAATATTTAAGCGCGGCATGAAGTGATGCAATATCACCAGATATACAACATGTATTTTTAATTATTAAGTGGTAATTTTTGTAAATAAAAGATTTAAAAATAATGTCATCGTACGATGTATGTACATCGGTACCGTGTTTATATTCATTATTTTCCATTATCACTTCACCCCCCCCCCCTCCGCTCCACGCCCCTCATCCCACATTCCAATCTATAAAGACCAATAAAAGTAAGTGAATTTATCGTTTAAAAACAAAATTCAATATAATTGTGCCACATCTAGTTGGATAGACGAAGCGAAGAAAACGTTTAATCATCTATTTTTCGTATTATCCGTAAATTCTTATTCATTTTATGTTTATTTATTCTTTTGAAACTCATGAATTTTCATAATGCATAAGGAAAGGTAATGCCGATTAAAAAAAAAAAAAAAATGGGTACACAATTGTATTGGAGTTTGGTGAAAATGAAAAATCATATGATATCTTACAAGTTTTTCCCAACGTCACTGTCGATCCTGGAAGAACTTTTGCTATTAGAACTGAAGCCATACACATTGTACCGATTGGCTTACATTGAGTTCTGAACTCTGTGATGATATTCCTTAATTCCGGATGCACGATGCAATCGTTACCAGCCGATGAGAAATCACTTCTGCAGAGAAAAAATGTATGTGAAAGAAAGCTTTCTGAAAATATTATATTATATTATTGCTAACAGGACTTTCAGAGTAGAGTATTTGAAAGGCGATTTAGAAATTAGAAATAATCGATTAAAATCATTACAATTGTCTGTGTAATATATATATAGTTAGTACATGTGTATATAGCATAATGACTGGAAATTAAATATGTTTTACTAAATTTAATAATTATCCGTAAATAATATAAAGAAAATTTTTTAAAGCTTAAATTCAAGATTTGAATTTTATTTGAAAGTTGTATATTGCGTGACTATATACTGTACAATCTATTTCGTCTAGTTTTGACACATTCTAGCTTAAATAATTATTATGATCATCATCGTTATAATTATGATTATCATTATTATTGTTGTTATCATTGTTGACAATGTCTATCAAACATTTGCTTTCATAACTTAACAGATACTATTTTATCATCCTATAATAATTATTGCTATAATAACTATTACAATTATATATTAATTATCATTTTATTGATCAATTAAACAACAATGCGCAATAATTGGCGTATCAGGACTATCAGAATTGAATTCCTCACCATTTATCATTAGCTCTATATTCTCTCATTCATCAATGACCGATCGGAATAGTTTTGTTTTTTTTTTCTTTTAATACCATTTGCCTCCTCTTTTCCAAAATCCTCATTATAAACATGTGTAGGAAATGTTTGAGCAACGAAATAAATGTGAGTGGCATTACAATAAATAAAGCCTGTGCTCGTATGAAAAGAATAAATTATCAGCGAAATGTGCCAATGCGGTTGTTGCTGTCAATAACCTTCTCGTAATATCCTAGTACTTACAAAGTCCTAATGACTCCCGCTCCCCCGGGTATGATGAGCAAAGCGTATTCGCAGACCTTGCACTTGCAAATCGGCCTGATACAACTTCGGGCTATTCGTGCCGCCTCCACGAGTGCATTCCTCGGTATATCGGAGCTCTCTAAGCATCCCGTGTAATGGTTTATCGATGCGCAGACGTCGATATTAGGGGCGTAGAAATCCGGTCTTATATTGTGCTTATAGAGATGAATGGCTGTGGAAATGGCCTCGGATATCTCGGTTCCGTCCATCATACCGCAGCCGGTCAACACCTTCGTAACGGTAAAATTCATTCTCAGACTCAATGATTAACATTGCCCAGTATATACTAAGATTACGTTAATTCTCCTCAAATGTCACAATTTCTTCATTATTCTATAATTATTATTTCGTCATATATGGTCCATACATGGCTCTTTTCCAAAATGATTTCGGCATTTTCGAGAATAAATTATAACGATGATTGTAGCAATAAATATCATTATAATGGAATTGTTCGGTCGTAAAATAGATGAAAAATTATGTGACTTTATAGTCTTGCACATTGCAATTTCCATTTAATAGGAGGGAGAATGTATGTGTATTTATTTTACTAAACTGTTTGAAAATTATACGATTCTCGATACTTCCACTCCCTCCCCAACCCCCTCCTTTTTTTTTTCTTTTTTTTTTTTCTTTTTTTTTAATCAAACTTATTTTAATTGGCTATCTCGTGTATAATATTCTATCATTTATCATTTTTCTATATATAATATTCTATCATTTTTTATACTTCCTTTTTTTAATACATTTAAATTAATTCGTGAACTAGAAGATTTAATTAGGATCATGTTTGTACAAATAATCTCTTTACATAACATTCAAGTTTATATAAATTAAGTATTATGAAAATGTATATCACCTAATAATTGTTCGGAGGATTATGATGAAAATTAATTTTCTTAAAAGTTTGAGGAAAAAATCTTTAACATAAATAAGCAAAATGTTTACTTAGAAATAAATTTAAACTCGAGGATATAAAATATGGAGTAGCGAGCGAATAGTACATTATCTCATATATTTATATTCATAATTTGCAATCCTTATTATTTTCAAACTATTCGATTCATTTATAAAATGTTATACTATGAAATTACGAATTAACGACAATAGAAATCGTCTATTCAAATAATAAAGAATGCAGTTTGCGTATTTGACATTTTTAGAAAAATATAAATATAATGTGCAGATTATTTTTCAATATAACATCAAAATACATTTAATCTATAATGTAAAATTTTTAATTGAAATATGTTAATTTCATGTATAATTTATTTTTCGTTATTTTAGCATTGAGTTATTTATAAGAAAACTGTTAACGGCACGGTTCACCTCGTATATTTGTCTTTCAATCTTCAATGAATTCATTAAAACACGATTGACAAAATTGAGACAATAACGGGATTATCCTAATGGTAATTCGTAATTACTATAATCCTAAAAAATTACGTAAAACTTGCATGAGACAAAAATTCTACAACATACTTCACAATACCAAATCGAGTATAAGCGCAATTTTTCCAATCCTATGGGCGAATGTGTGAATGCAAAAAGCATCAAATCTAACAACCATGGTTATCGAACGAAAATTATTTGATGGATGAACATAAGCAGCTAATATAAAATTCAAAATATACATACAATCAGGTGATAAAAGAAATCAGATCAATAAATATATTCTAAATTTCTAGTATTGCGTAATCATTGGGTATTTTCTGCTTCTGATACTTTGCAAAAGAGAGAGAGAGAGAGAGAGAGAGAGAGAGAGATACATCGAAAAGTTATCATTACATGATATCGCACATTCAATTTGTCACTTTGGATTTCAGACGCCAAATGTAATAAACGCTCAAGGTGATAAACGATTGTAATAGAGATGAATTTTTAATATATTGGCAGTGGTTGGTTTCGAGTCAGAGAATTAAGTAACTTAAAGTATTTCCTTATATTAAGATAATTAAGGCGACGTTAATATTTTCTTCAAGTAAATAATGAAATAACGCGTTAAAAGTACAAGAAAAAAAGCATTATGAAATTATACATTATAATTAATTAGTGGAATGAGATCTTTTTGCATAATTTTTCTAAATTGCTTTTTTTTTTTTTTTTTTTACATAAAATAAGACAGGCATTCTCTGAAATATCGATTTTTATGAATCATGAGAAATTGTTTATTTATTTATTTATTTATTTTTTTGTTTTTTTTACAACGCACGATGCTTGAATAGAATGAAATTTTCACGCACCGATTCTATTGAAATAATAGTGTACTTCGTTCGATGAAAATCAAACTGTAGTAATTCACTGCAAATAACAATTATTACAAAACTATATTCCGCTTTTAGATTAAAATAAATTTTTTAAGAAAGTAATTAATTCCTTTACCGAATCTTTCGTAATAATGAATAGTTAGGCTTTAATTATAGATAATGGATGATTGGAGCATTCAAAATTTTAATTTAAATACTGCTAGAGTTTCAAGAAATAAAATAGATTATGGTTATTAAAAAAAAATTTGCTACAATAAGATTTTGTTTTAGATACCACGATTGCTTTCCTGTCGCAATTGAACTTCTGCGATCGATTTCTCAAATGAATTTGATTTGAGAGTAGTAGGTTAGTCCATATCATTCCAGCATTTGACATATTTTTCCCAAGTTGCGAGGAGACGCCGATATGTGACAACATTTTGTAAATAATTAACTATATCCACCATAAATTTATCCACTATAAAATGCACATCACTGTAATTTCGATTATTGAATATAAATTACAGAATATCTATAAATAAACAAGCTTTTTTGTAAGCGTCCGAATGGGAATGATACATAGTTGATCATTCGTGCCTTTTGTTTTGTTTGTGCGAAAAAAGAAGAAGAAAAAGCGATCATAAGAATTCGAGAAAGAGTGATTTAAAAAATTTTTTTCTCAATTTTGAAACAACCTATGAATAATTCATCTCCTTCTTTCCATACTTCATATAACGAAACTTTTATCAACGTAAATGTACATTTAAATTTTAATTTACAAAAATATAAATGAATTTACTTCACTGTCAATAGCAACATTAGAACACTATTTTTCTGTTTTAATATCAAAATTTCCATTTCAATTTGAGAATGTAATATATATATCTGCATAAGCAAAGGGGGCGCAAGTGATCGAGCATAATGTCATTATCCACACCTTAGCATCCTCGGAGCAAGGCCAACTGCTTTATCCGTATGTAGTCGGTAAGGTCGAGGTGGATTATATTATCGATTTTCTACTCACTCGACATTCAGCTGGAAAGATATCCAGTCTAGAAATTATCAATCTCCTCTCGCTCGCTCTCTCGGACGAGTAAGTGAATGGGTGCTTCAAAGGTGGCAGCACTATTGAAAATTATCGAAGTCAAAAGGGAAGATCGCGGCTGCGACCTTCAAGAAAAGTTTCGCGGAGCTCGAATAAAACGTCGGCCCAGTGTTTCCTTGGTTTAAAGGCGTTTCACTTACTTTATGGGTCACATAAACCTTTATTGTGCTCTAGGAGCAATTTTTCCTCAGACTATGAATATGAAATGTATGATTCGCCGTGTGGTACAAAGATTTAACAAGTTACGCGCAGCGCTCCGTTGCGATTTATATATATAATAAGCCAGAATAAATTTTCGTTGTTTTACCTCTGCTTATAATAAAGTACACAAGGAGTGAAACTTTTATGCTCAGAAATGTTTACGAGGGAAAAATCATTTTACCTAAGCATAGAGTCGGTTGTAACGGTCATTTAAACTAAAATCGGCGTGTAAGGTATAATAAAGAAAAGCCTTTGTGAAAATTTGCATTGGATTTCGTTAATATTTCACAATCATTCATGATACGTTAAGTTATATTGATTTATTGCTTTATTAAAAAATAATCGACAACCCTGTTGTATATTGAAAATTAAAGTTTTTAATTTTGAAATAGTTAAAAATTGGTCTTATTTTATTATTATTATTGTACTCTCTAAAAACATTATTGCAATGTAATTAAATCGATGAGTATTTGAATGGTATTGAAAGAAATACATACATTTATATTCACTCTTTAAGTAGACTATTAATGTAATTTATTTAAAACTTTTGCTTTTATTTCATTGCTATTATTATTGCATACCATAAAAGCATTATAACAACAACAACAACAACAACAACAACAACAACGACAACAACAAATAATAATAATAATAACAATAATAATAATAATTAACATCATCATCATCGATACGTATATTACGGGCTCGAAATATATTACCCATAAGATTGTTATCAAAATAGATTCATCATGCCCCAGCGGCGCCTAATGTAATATACAACTTATGACGTAATTGACGTAACCTTAGTATAATAATTATAAACGTAAGCTCATATACGCTAATATATGATTACTTACAAAAAATTCAATAACTACTCGAGAAGCTATTGCGCGATCCTGAAATATTCATACAATGATGGTTGTACGAAACACGAGAGCTTTGTCAATTTTTGAAAATTAATATTAATGTCGATTTCAAAAATGTGATATACAACTCATCGGAAACGCGCTTATGAATTTTCTGTCATTAATCTAACAAATGTCGATAGTTTCGTTAGTATGGAAGCAAATGTCAATGGAATTAATTGCTATTACCATAATCGAAATTTGTATTTTATTATCGCGTGCAATTGTTCGATTTCGAATGTAAAGAATGAAATTGAAATATGGAAGAGGTTTGAGTAAAGTTTTGCTGAATCAATCCGCATTCTTCTGCGATTTTGTTGAAAGTAAAATTTTTTACTTTCATCCTTACCTTCGAGCATACAATACATATATGCCTGCGTGCGTGCGTGCGTGTGCGATGGATGCACTCTATCCTTGCTAATGTATTTGGTTGTTATTTTGGCAATAAATTGCCGAAACTTTACGCTTTATAGAAAGGGTATAAAAATATAGAGTGCTCGGGTGTATTCATCAACGTTGTCGCGTAAACCTCTTCTCGACCCCCATAAATCTCATAAGAGCAGCAGCATATATTTTCCTCGCGACTCTATACAGAAGCTCTAGTTTATCGAATATGGAAATGCAACGCAATCCCCCGTTCGCCCCTCGCCACCTCTTCCGCCCAAGAAAATGAGTTATACACGCGAGCGGACCAAGTAACGTCGAGGCTTTATTCTAATTATCAACTCAAGACGAGGGCACCCTGGAGAGCCCTGAACTCTCTCATCCGCGCT